CATAATTTTGGAAAATTTCGGAGAGGAAAATAAAAAATATGTTAATGTAATTTTGGAAAATTTATTTAAAATGTAGTAAATAGTTATTGAAAATTATTGGAATATTTTGGAAATTTGGGAAATTTTATTACATTTGATAGATTTTGGAAAATTATTTAAAAATTGTATGATTTTCATTTTAAATTATTAAAGATAAATTAGTATTGGTAAAGGAAAATGGTAATTTGAACCAATAATTACACAAATTGTTTCTATTATTAATATAAATTAGTATAATATTGGAAAATTTTAGTAAAGGAAATTATTATTTAACTTATATTGAGAAATAAAAGATAAATTAGTGTAATTTTGTAAATAATATATTTAAAAAGAAAATAAATTATTTAATATATTTAAAAATCAATAATTTAGTATATATACTTTTGGAAATTTACCAGCAACCAACATTCAATATATCCTTTTGATCCTTTTTACCAGCAAATTAGACATTGGATTTTCCCGTGCATCGCACGGGTCCTCTACTAGTCTGAATAAAAATGGTAAGACATGGTTTCTTTTCTGTTTTTTGGTAACTGATAAGGCATGGTTTCAAGTCTTACCAAAATGAGACACATTTTAGACAATAGAAAATGATTTTAATACCCTCATTACTGTCATCTATTTAATAATAATAATGATGATAATAATAATAATAATAATAATAATAATAATAATAATAATAATAATAATAATAATAATAATAATAATAATAATAATAATAATAAATATCAATGTTGTTACAAAAAAATATTATTAATTAGTAAATATCATTTATTTATTTAAATAAATAATAATATTTATATAAGAATAAGAATATTTGATAATATCTTTATTAATAATAATTAAAATATTTTTATTTGTTATTAGTTAATAATAATAAATAAATATTATTAATAATCAACTAATAAATAATCATTTATTTCAAAAAATCATAATATTTATTTATTAATAGAATACTATTTTATTTAATATTCTTTATATTATTTATAATAAATTATCAAAAAGTCTATTTCTAAGGGTAAAATAGGAAACTTTACAGTTTCAAATGTTGGAGAATCAACTCAAATGATCTTATCTTTTCAGAGGTTTTAAAAAATAAAAAATCCTTTCTAGTTCTTTTAAGATTTTAGACCCAAATAATAACTTTGACTTTTTAGACATTAGACTTCAGATTTATCAAATGCCACTGTTGAAGGTCCAATCAGACTCCAAGATTATATTTTGACTAAAGTTCTCGTAGGGGGTGTAAATTGACCAAATCATGATCTGATGCGGATATCCCTGGTCAGATTTTCATCCTCCTTTATCGGGATTTTCGAATTGGATCGGATCGCAAAACAGGACCCGTTCGGAAATTGGATTAGTCTGAGATATATTGCATATATCGATTTCAATCGGACCCTTGTCACATATTCAATAAAATGATCCGAATAGAATTGAATCAGGGCTAGAGAATCCGGTGGATTCAAATTCAAATTCGGATAACACAGTTCTGTTGTTCCCTTACTGAAATATACGTGTGCTCCGGAGTCGACCCGGCCAAGTACGGATTCCGGCACGGCATCATAGTCGAATCCATTTGGATTTGCTCCTCACTCCTCACACCAACCTGAATTGCACTTTCCTGCCACGCAGAGATATGTCTGATGTCTCCCCTCTCTCTATTCATTGGAGTTCCAGTTGACGTCATACCACCCATCATCTCAGAAATCTCTCTCTCTCTCTCTGCTTTTTTTATGTCTCTCGGTGAGGGCCTAATAGTGGCCCCGAGCTGTGAGTGAAAACTGTGTGGACGTCTTCCCTAGTTGGGAGTTTCGTTTCAAGATTGAGAATCTAAGGTCTCTTATCTCCCTTGTTGCAGTTAGCCAGTTTTTCTTTGAAAACTTCATTTTAATGGTGCTATTCCTTGAATTACATGTGTATTTATGCCAACTCCTGCGTTGTTTCTTTTTTGTTTCCTGGCGATGGAACCCGCAGGTTAACAATGAGAGCGAAAGGTGTGGAGGACTGTCTCGCATGGGCTGCAAGAGATGAGTCTGGAATTCTTTCTCCCTTCAAGTTCAGCCGCAGGTAGCACATGACTTGGTGCATCTGGTTTTTGAGATTTTTCTCTCTAATTGAGCTTGGTATTTCTTATTCTTCTGATCATGGGGTAATTTGGAATTTTATGTTAAAAGATGAATTTCTGATGAAACAGTGATGAGATTGAGTTTTGCATGTTCAAATCATGCCATAGGGATTGATGTTATTACATGCTATTTGTCGATTCAATGAAAAAGATTGCTGTATATCTTTATTGCTTAACATTCATGTTCTACTTCCTAAAATGTGTATCTCATAAATATCAGTGTGTTCTGTTCCTCATGATCTCTTTAACTTACTTTCCTATCTCACTACATTATGGTGCATAAAACCTAAAGGTTGAAAATTCACTAATCTTTGTATCATTTCTTCTCTTTTTAAAACTAATTGATATTTGCATAGTAGTTGTGGCGTATGCATGCCATTGCCAGCCTGCTTTCATATGCATTAGGCAGTATTTCATATATGTCCTTCTATAAAGTGGAGTACTTGTGGTATTTCTTAGCTTTCTGCCAAAATTTATTAATTGAAAACCCCGCTTTAGTATTTCTGCAAGGATTGAACATATATGCATTTGGTGTGTATCATGCATAACTGGGTTGTAAACCTCATGCAATTAGTTATATGTCAACTTCCCCTCAGTTTGTTCTCAGATGGTTCATTCCTACGGGACAAAAAGGATCACAAAAGCTTGATACAGTAAAAAAGGGTAAAAAACCTTGATACATAAAAGCAAGGTTTTCAATTTATTTCTGCAGGAATCGGACATATATGCATTTTGGTGTGCCATAGCAACTTTTTTTTTTTTGGGACGAACCAAAGATGAATATTTTCCTTTGCTTGAGGAAGAACAGTTGCTATCATTAGTTATATGTCAACTTCCCTCAGCTTGTGCTCAGATGGTTCATTCATATGGGAGAAAAAGGGTCGTAGAAGCAAGAATATTTGTTCAGATGCAATAATCTCTCCATCCTCAGAGCAAATTGCATATGATATTGGATATGTTTAGCTCTGTTTGCTCTTTTATTTTGATCGGTGCAGTTGAAGCCTTATTTCTCAAGTCATAGTTAGCATTGTAAGCCACATTTCTGACTTCCCTTTTTTCCAATTTTGATGTCATGTCCTTTCCTTCACCTTCCATGTTATAAAAAGAGACCCCAAGAAAATTTTCTAACTCCACATTCACATGACTTGTCTTCATGGGTCTTCTATACTTTGATCCTTGTCTTCATGGGTCTTCTATACTTCTCTTCTCTGAAGAGAAACAGTGGATCAACAATCTAAACTGCAACTAATAAATACTCCCCATCTTTCCAGATCAGCCCAGAAAACTAAAAACCTATTAAACAGGAGACCAGGTGACTCAGTAACAACTGAAAAATAAAAGTATCTAATATGAAACATTCAGAACCCTGACAACCAAGGGATTGGAATACATGTTGTTCTCTCTAAAAGCATCCTCGTCTATGGCTAGACCTCTCCTTAAGCTCACATTCTGAACTAAATCCTCAGTTATGGTATTAGGGGATCCTTTTGCTGCCTGCATCATTGTTCTCTAAACTATCAAATATGTCCTTGTGTTTTCCACAAGCATTTTTCCAATTCAGAATGATAATTATTGTTTCCTTAAAAAAAGCACTGCTATGATTTTCCATCTGATTGATTTCTGGGGTGGATTACTTGAATACCATAGAAAGCAATACTGAGAGGATTTTACTGCAGTTGGTCGCTAAATTGTTTATGGTTATGTATTGATATCTCCTCAATTTTCTATTTTCACATTGTAAATATGAGACACTAATTTTTTCTATGAACTTATAACAATCCCCGCCTTTCATATCCAAATATGAAATGGACGGTAGCTCTTAATCTAAGAGCTGGACCTGAGGATCGCTACCAACAAAGTATTTATGCAAGGCTACTTCTTAGAAAGACCAAATTCTCCAGGAAATATGGACCGTGTTCTCTAACTACATAGGCCTCCTCATCTCTTGCAATGCTAACAGCTCGACCCCTCCCAAAAGAGTGAGATTGGTGAGATTTTGAGAGATCCCCTTTCAACTTTCTTCATCGGTTCCCATGGAAAAACCGGTGCCTAGTCGATTTTGGGTGACAGTAGAGTGCCTAGTTGTCTAGGCGATAAAAATTTTATGATATAAAAAAATGAACTTTTGGTTAGTTCCCTAGTTTTATATACTATTCAGCATGTATATTAATTGAAAAATTAGCAATTCTCTTTATTAAGAACATCAAATTTCCTCTAAAAATGTGGTAAATCATCACATCTAAAAGATAAAAATATTTCACATATATTAATTTCATTATTTTCAAAAATAATACTACTATAATAAGTATTTAATAGAGCAATTTCATATCATTTAGCAGCTAAAGAAGGTTATTAACTTTATATGACAAATATTCAACATGGAAAGTAAAATAGAAAAAACAAGGATGGAGTTTCTGTTTTATTTAATTAGAGAGAGAATATAAAAAAGAACATTTTATAATTCTATTCTTTTTTCCTCTTTCTTTCTTTCTTTTTCTCTCCTCAAAACCCTTTGATCTTTTAAATTTCAATAGTAAAACATTAAAACAAAGTAAAATTGATACAAATAGCATGTAATAAAATGTATTAACACATATATTAATATGATACAGCAATATAAATGATATTATAAAAGGCGATCGCCTTGTCATTTTTGTCGCCTAGGTGACACCTTGACAACTATGACCATTACATTACATAACATATTTAGTTACAAACTAGAATTTGGATTTATCTAGATTCTTGATCAGTGTAGTTGATTTTACCATCCTCTGCTCCCCCCCCCCCCCCAAAAAAAAACAAAAACTGAAACTCTTACTCTTTTCGTTTTCTGGGGCATCATTTGCCAGAGTCAGATCGTGAATCTATAAAACAGAGAAGACAACAGATTTATGGGTGTATCAAAAGTGACAGTCAACACCCTAGGAAAGGTATTTATATTATTATTAGTGAAAGGACAAATCTGTCCTTAATATTCAAGAGATAGTGTACAAAAGAATAAGAGAAATCTAATGTACAACAAAATATAAAATTACAATTATAGCCCTCTTAGCTTTCTTTATCTCTACACTCCCCCTCAAGCTAATGCCTAGGAATGAGCATCAGTTTGTCCATAAGAAAATTGTATCGGGCCCTATTCATTGCTTTTGTCAACAACAAGTTTGCAAGTTGAAGGCTAGAGGACACGTGTGGAAGGGAGAAGATGCCCGCAAGAAGGAGATTGCGAATGAAATGGCAATCAACTTATATGTCCTTTGTGTGCTCATGAAAAACAGGATTTGATGCAATCTTAATGGCACTAATATTGTCTACAAAGAGAGGAACTGAAGGTGGATGCTCATGTAGAAGATCATGTAGGAGAGCCTTGAACCAGATGATTTCACTACACACTAAGGACATGGTTCTATACTTAGCTTCAGTGGAAGAGATACAGTAGATTGTTTCTTGCACTTCCAAGAAAAGAGTGAGTCACCCAAGAAAACACACCAACCCGTAGTAGATCTCCGTGTGTCTGGGCAACCGACCTAATCAGCATCAGCATAGGCAGTATGACAAATAGCGAATGATGAAGAGAAGAATAAGCCATGAGATAAAGTCCCCCATACATATCTAATAATCCAATAGACTGCAAACATATGTGGTTGGTGTGGAGAGGATACAAACTGACTTACAACCTGAACTGGATAAGATATACCTAGCCGAGTCATAGTAAGTTAGATTAGACAGCCTACCAATTGGCGATAAAAGTAGGATCTTCAGGGGGGGAACTATCTTCCTTACTGAGTTTCAAAGTAACCTCTAAGGGAGTATCAATTGTCTTGGAATCAGTTAGGTTAGCCATTTTGACAAGATTGACTATAGAGTTATGACTAACCTCTAATCCCAAAAAGTAAGTCAAGGGACCTAAGTCCTCCATCTTGAAGGATTCACTGAGAAGTCTTTTCAAAGCAACAGGTTCTTTTGCATCACTTCTTGTAATGATGATATCATCAACATAGAGAAGAAGTATGACCACTCCTTGGTTCTGATGCAAAGTAAAAAGAGAGTGATCGAGGAGCTCTGGATAAAGCTAGGCATTAATGATAACAAAGCGGAATCTCTCAAACTAGGCCCTAGGTGCTTGTTTGAGACCATATAGGGATTCCTTGAGGTGTCATACAAGATGGGGATTAGTACAATATCCAGGAGGAGGCTTCATGTACACAGTTTCCTTCAACTTTCCATGTAGAAATGCATTCTTCACATCCATGTGATGGATCTTCCATTGTTTAGCTATAGCGATGGCTAACAGAATTTGAACAGTAGTCATCTTTTCCACTAGAGCAAGGGTATCCTCATAATCTACCCTATACTCCTATCTATAGCCTTGAGCAACGAGTCTAGCCTTGTATCTATCTAGACTCCCATCTGACTTTAACTTCACTGAATAAACCAGCGGCTACCAATAATAAAAGCTTTAGCAGGTGCTTTAACTACTTCCTAGGTGTCATTCTCAAGGAGAGCTTGGATTTTAGAGTCCATGGAATCCTTCCAATGAGGGATTGCTACAACTTGCTGGTAAGACTTAGGGATATCTGTGGTGGACAAAAAAATAGAAAAAAAGAGCTATGATTTGGAGAGAAACGATAGTGGTTAGGAGGTCGAGAAACTCTAGAAGAACGATACAATGTGGGTGCACTGGGAGAAGTAGGTTCAGATATGGGGACAAAAGAACTTACAAGAATGGATGGAGTGATAAAACTAGTAGTTGGTGGTGGAAAGGAAAGAGGCATAGGAGCTGATGTAGGCCGTTCCTTCTTGAAGTAGGTTTGAAATTGCTACAAAGGTGATGTAGGAACTCTTAAAGAATTTGTAGAGTCAAAACTGTGTAAGTAGAGGGAGTGGGTAATTTAACAATATGCTCAAAGAAAGATACATTTTCAAGAAATATAACATTGCGAGT